TTCTATTCTCGAGGAAACCTTTCAGATGCAGTTCAGCAACGACGAAAATAGTGTTTCGGTGCCTCAATAGTGTAAAATTGGTCGTGTGAGACTTACAGCGACTGCCAACGTTCTGAGGTCGCTAAAATCTTTTTTTGTTTTTGTTTTAGGTATTTCTTTCGTACACACATGTAGTTCTATGTAACGTCATGCTAATAAGTTGCACTTCGTGATTTCAATACTTCTATTCTCGAGGACATCTTTCGGATGCAGTTCACCAACAACGAAAAAAATGCTTGGGTGCCTCAATAGTGTAAAATTGGTCGTGTGAGACTTACAGCGACTGCCAACGTCCTGAGGTCGCTAAAATCTTTTTTTGTTTTTGTTTTAGGTATTTTTTTTGTACACGCATGTAGTTATGTGTAACGTCATGCTAATGCGTTGCACTTAGTGATTCCAATACTTCTATTCTCGAGGAAAGTTTTCGGATGCAGTTCAGCAACAAGGAAAAAAATGTTTGGGTGCCTCAATAGTGTAAAATTGGTCGTGTGAGACTTACAGCGACTGCCAACGTCCTTAGGTCGCTAAAATCTTCTTTTTTGTTTTAGGAATTTTTTTCGTACACATATGTAGTTCTATGTAACGTCATGCTAATAAGTTGCACTTAGTGATTTCAATACTTCTATTCTCGAGGACATCTTTCGGATGCAGTTCAGCAACAACGAAAAAAATGTTTGGGTGCCTCAATAGTGTAAAATTGGTCTTACAACATTTTTTTTTGTACTTTCAATAAAAACTCCTAAGACGTAACCCCTGGCGTTGATAGCTTGCGAAAAGATAAATTAGTTTTCCCCTCCGCGCAATAGCAGACGCAAAAAAAATAAAGGAAATAGTCCATCTGTCGATCCCGTCGTCAACTCGCAATTTGAACAAGCGGCCACGTGATCTGACGCTAATTATATACCGTCAGTGTTCATCATAGTCTTGCCCTATAGGCGGCTAGGGTTTGGAAAGCAAAAGCTTGGGCTGAGCTTCAGATATTGTTAGAGTTGGGCTATTAATTGACATGAGCCGTTACCGAATGTTTGGCGATGCTGATTGTCATGAACCCAAGCACTCGACTACGGGTTACGAAAATCGCTTACGTCACGGTGTCATGTGACTCTTGGTTTAAATTCGTGATGTCATGTTACGTCACGCTGTAAACAAGGTTAGTACATCTAGTGACTTCCTGAAATTAAATTGAGTTGACGCAGCGAGTCACGTGACGTCACGAGGGTCACGTGACATTACTTGACAACGTGTATTGACACCATGACGTCACATGATAACGTGACATTTCTTGACAACATGTATTGACACCGTGACGTCACTTGATAACGTGACACATGGTTAATCATAGTGGCAATACAAAAGCGCCACAAAAACCCACAATTTAATATACATTGCAATTCTGTATATGACGATTTGATCAAAGATAGAAATACGGCCGCCAATTTTTTATTCCGATATGTTCATTTTGTGATACTAACAAAAAAAAATTACCTTCAACCGTTTTGAACCGGTTACCGTTATACTTTATTTCGGCTCGGTTCCGGTTCAGTTCCAAAATGGTGGAGAAGATTTTGGTTCGGTTCAGTTCCGGTTCGGCTAAAAATAACGGTTCTGTTCCCGTTTTCGGTTCGGTTCAGTTCCGGTTCGACACCCTGCTTGAAGTACTGCTGCGTATATATTTTTTTTTTTCTTTCTGAATGAGGCTGAAACTACATGGATAGATAATTGTAAGCGATTTATGGAAATAAAAATTTGAAGGTTCTGAGTGCGTTGACTGAGCCAGAAAAAGTAACATTCACGAGAAGTTTCATTAAACATGAGGTGAAAATACGAACATGGGGTGGGCGTTCGTGGTTAGGGACAAACCTCCCCCGGAGCCGAGTCCGCGGTTTTTAGCGCCCACTCAGTCATGACCACGGAAAGATTGAGCGCATTCTGAAAGTCGCCGTTCCGAAAATGTCACTTGCGTTGCCTTTTCAGCTACGAAGAGCCGCAAATTCCAACTCTGACATGCTGAAATACATTCCTTAAGTACATACTTACCTAAAATTATGATTGGAGTATAATATACGTCAAGCTGATTGCCTCCGCTCGGGGAATATTCGTGGCTAGTGGGTGGTGACATGGAAGTGATGTCTATGTACGCGCACAAGGTCATTGAAGCAATGTTGGCCAATTACGTGCACTCATTTTTGCTCTATTCTTACCGATTAATGGCAGAACTCTACTTATACGGCTCTGGGTCAAGCGTGACTTATAAAAGGCTATAGGTCCAGTGGCGTACCAACTTCTTTTTGACTCGAGGGACAAACCAGACCCCTTCCCTCCCCTCAACCCCCCCCCCCCCCCCCTCCCAAACACAGGGCCGGGGGGCGCCGCCCTTGGTATCCCTTGGGCGCCGCGAGATAGCGTTCTCCCTACCCAGTGGCGGCTGTTTCAGGGGGCCCCCCGGTTGGTACGCCAGTGTATACGTCACTGGACAATGCGAACACTCCTTCCATCTGCCGTCCTTATGAAGCGAAAACAGGGGCAATGCCCTTGAGCCGGGTGGGTTGTTTTTATTTCAGTCTAACCACCGCAATCCAAGTTGTGACAGCGGTGATTGTATCCCTTTAAGTAAACGCAAACAATCAATGAGCTCAGTGTTAAAGTGCCATGCACATTCTGCACAAAATGAAACCCGAACGCCGGAACGCGTGGCCATCGACACAGACTGCTCCACCTGGAGGGCCCCCGAGAAATAATGAAAATGCGCTGGGGTGCGAGGGTGCGGTTCTTACTAAGATGTGCTCGCCCCTCGCGCGGCGCGTCTGAAACTTCCGCGTTTCTCCGGTTGCGCGCTGTAAGCGCTGTCACTCGAGGTTCTTTTCTGTCAACGGACTGCCGCCCGGTCAACACCTGCGGCTTGAGCGCAGCACAAGAAGGTCGATGTTAGGTTAGGTTAGGAGCACGCACATGGTATCTTCTCCTTCTGGCGTGCGCAGTTTTCATTGTTTGTTATTCCTATTGTAGTTTTATAATTAGCGGTACTTATAGCAAAACAGTGCGACATGACGAGACAAGAACAAGTTGTGACACATGACGAGTGCTGACACCCAACTGAGGGTTGCTACTATAGATATTTAGTGTATAATATATGAGCACATACATACGCCCATTCTCAGATTTTTCATGCTCTTATTCTTAACTGCGAATGCCATATTGCAGGTCTACTAACTCGCGCACTTAGCCAACATTTTCCTTAATTGTAATGACTTGCTCGTTGAACAATACCTCACTCTGTGCAGATTCTACTCCGATTTGTCCAGCACACCTATTATTTATCGGTATGTGTATCAGATGCCCAGCGGTGTCTCTTCTGCGCTGTCATTAATTATCGCGTTGTGTATCGCAAGGCCGAAATGAAAGTTGAAACATTTCGTGCACAAAAGACCCATAGTGCCTTGTGACGTGTTACCGGAACCACGCGGAGGCTCCGGTGAACAACGTGGCTCAACGTTCACCGTCTCAACGGTGAACGTTGAGACGTTCTCTGTGTCTGTTCCTTCTACTGAAAGCTCTTCCGATTTCTTCCACCGCAGTCTCAGGTGTAATACGACATGATTAGCTACCACCAGCTAACGTGGCATACGCAGTTTCTGAGAAATGGTGAAACTTCATAAACGCGAAATGAAATTCGTTGCTTGGCACAACCCTGCTGATAATTAAAAAAATGGTGCAACAGACCGTCGCGGATGCCACGTTTTTTTAAGTAATGCGCATGTTACCTTGCAAGGTTATCAGTCTAATGAAGTTAAAAAAATGGTGTGGGCGAGCTGGTTGAATATAGACATCTTTAACCCTGGAGAGTGGGGACAAGGAGCACAAACACGACACAGATCTCCGATGCTTATAAGAAGCGAGGAATTGCTCGCTGACACTCCTTTTGGTAACCAGGGATATGCCAGGCGTATCAATTCCGGAGTGGAATAAATGCATCACCCTGTCTGCGCAGGGCCTATCGCAAAGAGCTATATCCAGGTTAAGCGGCCGCCCGGTGTCAAGCGGGTGACAGTGCGGCGACACAAAAGCGCCCCTAGTTACGGCGCTTACAGCGCGCCACCGTCGAAACGCGGAAGTCCCAGAAGCGCCGCGCGAGGGTCGAGCACCTCTTAGTAGGACCCGCACCCTCGCACCCCGGTGAATTTTCATTAGTTCTCAGGGACCCTCGAGGTGGAGCTGCCTGTGTCGATGGCCACGGGTTCAGGCGTTCGAGTTTCATTCCGTGCTGACTGTGCACCCAACGCTTAGTATTGAATAAACAGACGGGTCAGTTGCACGCTTCAACACGTCTTCTAGTGAGCAGTTTAGCGTCACACACTGTGTGCACACTACTGGTTGCAAAATATAGACATGAACGGTCGAACGATCAGCCTAAAGGTTATAGATATGAGCAGATCTATCACAGAACTGGACGAGCCTATTTTCATTTATTAAAGCTTTCTTAAGACTACCGCACTATAGACTCGTCGTGTGTCCCGACGGACACGAGAGAAAATAAAATAGGACGAATTATGCAAGTGATAGACTCCAGAGGAAAGGAACCTGAGAAGCGAAAGGAGAGAAGAGACTATAGGGAAAGGGGGGGGGGATGACATAAGTATACGAAAAAAAAAGAAAACCGAACCGAATACTCAATTACGGGCAACCACTTCCAGGTTTGACTTCCAGCATTCGAATTCATCAGGTATGAGAATAAACAAACGAGATTTTATCGTTGTTAATATTTAGTAGATGTATTTTAACCTAGCAATAATTAAAGATTCCCTTGAGTGAAAAATTTATCTCAAGGGGCTTCCAACAGCGGCAAGTTGATCAAGATTGTTTCGCCTCTACTAATTAAAAGGCAACTTTTACTATATGTGTATGATGCATTGGCAGAATGCTCGTAGTGTAATCATTTTTCCTTATTGTAATATTTGGTATAGAAACTGAGAGACCTCCAAGAAGTGAGCAGAGCCAGGGACGTTCGAAAATATGGATGCATCATCCTCGGAGTCGGCCTCTTGGCTCCCAGGAGAGGCGAAGTCTACGACTACTTGGAAGAACTTCTTCGGTAAGTTCTTAGATTGCCGGCAAAGAAAACGACTTATACACTGAAATGCCTCAAACACGGCTGATATATTTATTTTTCAAAGGGTCTTTAAATAGACACCATGACAAAGAGAAAATAAGCCAGAGAGGGATACACCAAACACCTTTCCACAGATTAAAAAGCCCCAGAAACCGTCGTGGTTGAAGGTCCAAGCTAAACGAAGTTTTGCTAAGGGCGTTCCCGTGATTTAGTATTGTTAACTATTTTTTTAGCAAAGGCTTGCGACCGTTTGTTTTCGCTCAACTCTACATAGGTAGAAACCCACAATGGCACAAAATTTTTAAAATCAGTTAGATTTTTGGATACTCCCGAGTAAGGGTCTTTATTTTTTATACATGTTTTGTCAAGCGCTCATTTCAACAACGTTGGTTTGTTTAATATAACATGGGCCAGAACCGAAGGTAATCTTCTATACGAACCCTGATGTCCATTCTACAACATTTTCTTTACATTTCTTCACAGAAACTGTACTTGTTGGTACGAGTAGATTCATGCGTCTCAGCTTATAAGCCGCGCAAAAGGTAGTTACAATATTAGCATCAATATTAGACCTGTGGGCTACCGCTTTACTACTTTGGGAAATTTTACGGATGCAAGGAACGAGTGCCCACTTAGAAGGTTTATTATTTTTCCGAGTGGCTCTTTGGAAATACCACGCAGAATAGCTGTCTTAAAATATATACCCTAATGGATACTGCACTTCTGAAACGGTCCTTAAGATGATGGTGAGGTGAAACTATTGAATAAAAACAATACGTTTGTTCTGCTGTTAAATTTCGAATTAGCCCTATAATTACATGCTTCGAGTGGCAGCTAACGAAGGAAAGAAGTGGTTTTGCCCTGGTTATGCCATACAAACAACAAAGGTCTGGATTCGTTTTAAGTGAACGATCCAGGTGTTTAATGTAACCGCCCTTCGTTCTTCTAAAAAACTTTAACTCAGAGTCTATCTCAAACACTGACTTTTCTAAAGCTTTCGAAGATACACGTCTGGCGAACGCACCAATGTACCGTCTACGCACGTTTCAACAGTACTTTGTTATGTCACCTATCCCAAAACTGCTTCAAAGAGCTGTAACTTTAGAAATCATAGCTACATTAAACAGAGCCAGAAATACCACTGATCTCATAAAGATGGCTTGCAGGATGAATTTCTGGTTGTCATACTGCACCGCTGTTGAGTTTAGACACGCCTCGAAGATTCTAAGGAACTAGAACCAATATGCTCGACTGAGGCTGTAACGTGAGCAATGTTCTTCCAAATAACTGCTAGCCCTAGTTAGTAGGACATTAAAATCAAACGAGTAGTGTAAATATTGTATGACCAACAAAAATACTGTACCGCACTTTCCCCACAAGGGTTGCAAGTCATGTGCTACATCCTCGGAACCTCGAAAAGACAACAGATCCACACAGAGTGTACTGAAGAATTCAAGCCATGGTTTCCCGCAAAGTGGGCATGGGAGCGCAAGCGTAACGCTGACGCTTAACCAGGACGTGCTCGTTTTCGCACAGCTCCCGTTTTTTGTCTTGGCCGGACTCATTTCTGGAACCGTCATCGCTGCCCGGTCAACAACGTCATCGACAGTCCGGGATCACCCTTGTAATCTTCTGGCTTGGAGGGCCCGTCAGCTGTTTCATGGAGCGTCTTCTTTGTGGATAAAGCACCCCCAGCCTTGTCGTCACTTCCACAATGCCCTTCGGTGGGCCTACAAAAGGAGGTGCCAGAGCGTCGCCCCGCCAGTGGGCTTGGGAGTGCAAGCGTAATGCTGACGCTCAACCAGGAAATGCTCGTTTTCGTACAGCTCCCGTTTTAGAGCGCAGCTCTTAGGGGCCCGTTTCCGGCTTGAGCGGCGTCGCCGTCGCCGTCGCCGTCGCCGTCGCCATCGCCGTCGGCGTAACCGCGCGGTGCATCATGGGAAATGTCCCACAATGCACCGCGCGAGCCCCCCCCCCCCCCGGGGTCACGTGACTTCGTGGGGGGGGCACGTGACCCCCCGAAGTCACGTGACTCCCCTGAGGTCACGTGACCCCCTCCTCGAGGTCGCGTGACCCCCGGCGATGTCGCGTGACCCCCGATGACGTCATCGACACTGATGACGTCACCGGCATCCACATCGTCATCGTCATCATCACTGATGACGTCAACATCAATGATGATGACGATGACGATGCGGATGCCGGTGACGTCATCAGTGATGATGACGATGACGATGTGGATGCCGGTGACGTCATCAGTGATGATGACGATGACGATGTGGATGCCGGTGACGTCATCAGTGATGATGACGTCATCAATGATGATGACGTCATCAGTGACGATGACGATGTGGATGCCGGTGACGTCATCAGTGATAATGACGATGACGATGTGGATGCCGGTGACGTCATCAGTGATAATGACGATGACGATGTGGATGCCGGTGACGTCATCAGTGATGATGACGATGACGATGCGGATGCCGGTGACGTCATCAGTGATGATGACGATGACGATGTGGATGCCGGTGACGTCATCAGTGATGATGACGATGGCGATGTGGATGCCAGTGACGTTAGCGACATCCGCATCGTCATCGTCATCATCACTGATGACGTCTTCAGTGACGTCACTGATGTCGTCACCGGCATCCGCATCGTCATCGTCATCATCACTGATGACGTCGTCAGCGACGTCACTGATGACGTCACCGACATTCGCATCGTCATCGTCATCATCACTGGTGATGTCATCAGTGACGTCACTAATGACGTCATCGGTACCCGCATCGTCATCGTCACTGATGACATCATCAGTGACGTCAGTGATGACATCATCGTCATTGGGGGTCACGTGACCTCCAAGGTCACGTGACCCCCCAAGGTCACGTGACCCCCCCTGGTTAGTCTAACCCCCCCCCCCCCCAGCGCCCTTCCCTCCTCCTCCTCAAGAGCTGCGCTCCAATTCGGCGTTACAGGGAGTTGTAAGCGGCTTTCACTTTTTTCGTCTTGGTCAGACTCATTCCTGGAACCGTCATCGTTGCCCGATCAACAACGTCATCAACAGTCTGGAATCACCCTTGTCATCTTCTGGCTTGGAGCGCCCGTCAGCTGTTTCATGGAACGCCTTCTTTGCGGATACAGGACCACCACCCCTGTCGTCACTCCCACAATACCCTTCAGTGGGCCTACAAAAACAGGTGCCAGAGCGTTGCCCCACCAGTGGGGATGGGAGCGCAAGCGTAATGCTGATGCTCAAGCCGGACATGCTCGTTTTCGTACAGCTCCCGTTTTTCGTCTCGGTCAGTCTCATTCCTGAAACCGTCATCGCTGCCCGACCAACAGCGTCATCGACAGTACGGGATCACCCTTGTAATCTTCTGGCTTGGAGGGCCCATCAGCTGCTTCATGGAACGCCTTCATTGCGGATACATGGCCACCACCCCTGTCGTCACTCCCACAATACCCTTCGGTGGGCCCACAAGAAGAGGTGCCAGAGCGTCGCCCCGCCAGTGGGAATGGGAGCGCAAGCGTAATGCTGACGCTCAAACAGGACATGCTCGTTTTTGTACAGCTCCCGTTTTTCGTCTTGGTCGGACTCATTGCTGGAACCGTCATCGCTGCCCGGTCAACACCGCCATCGACAGTCCGGAATCACCCTTGTCATCTTCTGGCTTGGAGGGCCCATCAGCTGCTTCATGGAACGCCTTCTTTGCGGATACATGGCCACCACCCCTGTCGTCACTCCCACAATACCCTTCAGTGGGCCTACAAAAAGAGGTGCCAGAGCGTCGCCCCGCCAGTGGGAATGGGAGCGCAAGCGTAATGCTGACGCTCAAACAGGACATGCTCGTTTTTGTACAGGTCTTTAATCGTTTCTCCCCATATCCTAAGCTAACTAAGCCTCAAGGTTTGCAAAATCCGACCCCACAAAGAGTGAAAAACAAAACAAAAAACACGGTTTATAAAGAACAGTGATTCTACAAGACTTAAGAAATATCAAGATTGTAGTGTGACCATAGCGCTGGCCAGCGCAGGAACGCAGGGCAGTGACACGAGTGCTGCGTCAGTGTTCGGATGTCTTCAATCTGTGAGGAGTGCCAGCGGCACGCTGCTCTGGGGTGCTATGTTGCGCTTTTTGGACTCCCATGGCAACTAGGGAGAAGGAAGTGACGTCAACAACGCAGCAAATGCAGATTGAATGTTGATTGGTGTGAGTCACTGACGATGAATTTTCTCAGAAGAAAACAAAGCTCACTTTTCTTTGTTTTCTTCTGCGGAAATTCGTCATCAGCGACTCACACCAATCAACGTACAATCTGCGTTTGCTGCGTTGTTGACGTCATTTCTTTCTCCCTAATCACCGTGGGAGTCAAAAGAAAAACGCAACATAGGGCCCCTGGTCTCCAATGTGTGTCCAGCGCTGCCCTCCGACAGGGAATGTAAAAACCTCAGCGGAAGCTTCTTATGGTAGCTGATGTTGGTTTATACGTCCTTCTGTCTCTCACTGTGAGGAATGCTTGAAATACAGCGTCCTTGTTCTAGGACCAGATCTTATATCTTCACGTTTCTTTTTCATTCGGTCGCCAAAGTGGACGTTGGAAACAAATATAGGCAATTTCAAGCTGGAAGCCTTTCCAAAACACCTTTCTTTTTTTCTCTCTCTCTCTTGACCATTTAATAAAAGGCAGTAAAAACTATGGGCGAGCGTGCGTTTGCGCACCTTGAGCGTCCATCAAAGCTGTGCACGCGCACTCTTAACTCCCGAAATGCCACAGAACGTTGCCCGCGAGTATAGTGGGTACGACGCGCGCTATGTACGCTTTCTGAAGCTAAAAACATGCGCGTTCTGAGGTGTGAATATTGCAGAAAAATCTATGATTTTGTACATTTAAGGAGTATTTACTGGGCACCATATTTTTGGGTGCTGTTTACAGCGCATGCCCAGAACTAGCCCCCATTAATAGGCTGCTAAGACCGGCTATT